AGTTCAGTGCCTATATTGCCGATCCCAGCTATGCTGGAACAGGAAACCAAACAAATGGGGGACCAGGGGCTAGTTTGGCGGGAGGGTACAGGTATGGATTTAATGGGAAGGAACAAGACACAGAGATATCACCAACAACTACATACGATTATGGCTTTAGAATATATAACCCTGCAATTGGTCGCTTCTTATCTGTTGACCCACTTACGAAATCATATCCTTGGTACACACCGTACCAGTTTGCAGGAAATACTCCAATACAAGCAATAGATATAGATGGATTGGAAGAATTAAAAAGTATTTACTTTAATAATGTTCGTTTTGTAGTGTTAAAAAATGTAACATTTGATTTTGTTATAAGAAAATCAACCAATACTTTGACTACGGAAATGATGGGCAAAGATGCGGTGGGAAGAACGGAATATTCAGTCAACTTGCAAATGTACGAAGCTAAGCCAGGTACAAACCCTGATTATTATTCAGCTACCAAACCCCAAGCAAACTATAGAAGCCAAGGATTAAACAATGCAGGTGGCAAGAATGTTGAGGGTAGAAGTTCACCAGCAACGTTTTTTTTCTCAATAGGTAACAATGGGGCAGTAACGACAGGAATGGGTGACCCTCCATTGGATAGTAAAATATCGTTTGGTGGTGGCGTACCATTGTATGTTAATGGTTTAAAATATGGAGAAAATAATATTTGGAAGGAAGGAACACCTGCTGAAATCGCTAAGAACACAAAGGGGGCTGTTTCTCCAGAAAACACTATTTATTTATTGCAAAAAAGTAATAGCGCTTTTCCGGAACAAAATGAAACAGACCAAGGCAAAACAATTTTAGCATATAATTCAAAGCAAAATATTTGGCTAGTTGCATCCCAAGAAGATGGTACAAGCGGAATGACGTTAGACCGTATTAGAGATAAATTAGTTAATGAAGGGTGGGATCAAATATTATCCTTCGACGGGTCGAGTTCGGCAACTTTAGTGAAAGACAAACAAGTATTAACGAAGCCGGATAATTACAAAAATAACACAGCTCCTTCAGGGCTATCTCTATCAGTCCCGAACAAATAAATTAAACTATTTTTAACTATGAAACAGCTATGTTTTTTACTAATGGTATTTATCGGTTGTTCTTGTAAAAACAATTCTTTGATTACAAGGGGAAGCAAGATTCTGATTAATGACGATAAATGCAAAATTGTATCATATTATCCAATAATGAACTTAAAGGGTAATGTTGGTAGAAAAAATGAACTAAATAAGATATTAGAAGAGTTAAACGAAATGGAACGACACATAGGTAATTTTGAGGCATATTTTCCAGCCGATTATGTAAAAAAGAAAAAGGAAATTATCGGTGATTACAACATACTATATAATTCTGATAGCTTAATAAACATTGAATTTATTAAAAAATGGACTGGTCTATCTAGAGTTGAATATCGAAATGTATTTGTTAATTTAACAAATGGGCAATTATTAGAAGAAAGTAAAGCTATACCAAATATTGATCGAAGTAGATTATATCCTTACGTTAAGAAATTCACAGATAGTACAGGCATTAGCATTAACCTAAAAGCCTACGAAGGCGACAGCAAGTATGCAATTATGTTTGGCAGAACAAAAATTGATTTGATTCTATATTTAGGAAAAGAAGGAGAATTTGGTGGTTATTACAAAATATTAATTCCACTAACCGAAGCCACGAAATAAGTATTAGACTTATTGCACAAGTTCTTTGAAATACGTTGCCGATCGGAACTTGCTTTCCAACGAGTATAAATCATCATTCATTCGGTATGCCATAACCCAGACTGCCACCCCGAATTCGTATACCGAATGAATTTTAATACTAGATATAAGTAAGGCGAATATTATGACGAATGTATAAGGTTCAAAGAGCTTATAAAATGGATGTCGAAATTGAGACTGGCAATTTCAAATTTATATGACTTCTACCCTTAATGGGCAGATCTCAAAAAAATAAATTTTTGGCGTTTATTAATTATAAGACGCACGAATTTTTAAGACGCGAGTGTATGTACTTTTTTGGACACTTTATCGTACTTAATCCATTTTCCACAGCGAGTGGCTTGACGAAAATAAAATGAAGAGCTACTCATCTTTTTTGAATCCATACCTTTCAGTTGTACACATTTCCGATATCGTGAGTCTGAACCAATATATCTCCCTTTTTCAATTAAAATGTCTGTCTAAATTTATCGACCTAAGATAAGTAGTAAAAGCAACGGCTTTGCAACTGCCGGCTTAAATATTTAAATTATATTTCCCCTAGTTAAGCAAAAATGTCGCTTTTCTCACAACACTTTTATGAATTTTTCCCCTCCCTTTTATTTCAAGTATACATTTTAATCCGTTTTTTTATACCCTTCCGGAATCTCCATAGTCATTACATTCCATCTACCACAATTATCACATTTCATATATCGGTCGAGTTTATGCCATTGTTCAATAATTTCATCTTTAATTACGAGATAACCATCATTGCATTCTGGGCATATAATTTTAGCTTCAGGATTTTTTGCCAAAAGGTTGGCTGCATCTCTCCATCTTTTCAGTAATTCTTCTGTTTTCTTATTTACCATTTTATTTATTTGGCTTTACAAGTTTGTATAATTTATCGGCAGCTCCAGACGCATTATCGGTGTATACGCGAGTCATTCCAAACTCTATTTGACCAGTACTCTGGGTATTCAGACGGAAAAGCTCATGAATAAGCGTTTTCCGAATTTCATCAGGCGACTTGCTAAATGCATCTGGTCCTAATTGAAAGCCGCTACCTTCAAAATAAGGAGAAGGGTGCAAAGTAATAGCTGAACCTGCAGTCTCAGGATTGTAACTAACAATTCTACCACCTATCTTGACAGACGTTTCTGTACCAGTCTTATATGCGTTTTGTATTAGAGTGAATTCTTTTGAATTAATAATACTATTGGCTTCCTTAACTATATTCTTTTCAAGTGCTGAAAGTCCAGATTTTAAGCCTTTTAACTCACCTCCACCATAAGCAAACGATAATACATCTAATGTTGGCAGGGCAAGATTGTTAGCAAACGCATTCCAAGTTTTATTTTGGGCTAACCTTGTCAAAGGTTTTGGCTTACCTTCTGCGTTATATCCTTCAGCATCATACCACCCTTCTTTATGTGCTTCAATATATTGCCTTTGATATTCTGGCAGAGCTTTAGTTTGAGTGATCGTAGCAGCCGGATCTCGATGAATTCGGGCAACCTCCTTTTGAAGATGCACCATTGGCGCATTAGCTTTTTGTTGCTCGATTACTACGGGATGATTATAATATCCATTTACAGCAGTTCCATCCCTTACTATGGTATTTTCACGACCTCCTCTTTGATCTTTTCCCGCCGGTGAATATTCTAGCCCATCCTGATCTATTCCATCTATTGGCCTGTTACTTGAGAACTGATACGGTTGTTAATTCGGGGTACTGTTTTGTTATTGGGTCAATACTCAAAAACCTTCCCAGCCTTGGATCATAAATTCTCATCCCATAATCCTGCTGATTCCCGTCTCCTTTGACATCTGCATCATTTTCCTTACCATTGAAGCCGTAGCGGTACCCTCCCGCCAAACTAGCCCCTGGTCCCCCATTTGTTTGGTTTCCTGTTCCAGCATAGCTGGGATCGGCAATATAGGCACTGAACTCGTCACTGGAAGCACTTTCAAACTCGCCCGTAAACTCAACATTGCTGGCGGCAACATATTCAGCGGGCTGTGCACCGGTACGGTTGCCTGTCAGGGTTAAATCCT